AGGCAGGAGACTCGCTTGAGCCCAGGAGTTGGAGGTTTCTGTGAGCTGTGATGCCACGGCACTCTACCCAGGGGGACAGCTTGAGGCTCTGTGTCAAAAAAATAATAAAATAAAATAAAATAAATTATTTTGTGGTAAAATATATGTAACATAAAATTTACCACTATAACCATTTTTAACTGTAGTTCATTGGCATTAAGTACATTCATAATGCTGTGAACCATAGCCACCATCTGTTTCCAGAACTTTCTCTATCATTCCCAACTGCACTTCCATATAACCATTAAACAGCAGCTCCTGTTCCCCACTCCCTGGACCTACCATTCCACTCTCTGTCTCTGTGAATTTGAGGAGTGATGTCTGTCATGTAGTGTTTGGCCTCTTAATTTAGCATAGTACCCACAAAGCTTATCGAAAATTATAGCGTGTGTCAGAATTTACTTCTTTTTTAAGATTGGATGATATTCCATTGTATGCATATATTACATTTTGTTTGTTCGTTTATCCACGAAGAGAAACTGGGTTGCTTCCATCTTTGGGTTATTGCGAATAGTGTTGTTGTGAATGCTGCTTTCACTTCTTGAGGGGGTAGACTCAGAAGTGGAATTGTTGTATCATATGGTAGTTCCATTTTTAATGTTGTTGAGGAACCACCATACTGCTTTCCACCGTGGCTATACCCATTTTACATTCTCACCAATTGTGCACAAGAGTTCTTCCACATCATAACGCTTTTTATTTTCTAATTTTTTTTCACTTTCAGTATAGAATTTAATTAATTGTATGAATTATTTAACAATTTATTATAAAATAGGCTTTGTGTTAGATAGATGATTTTGCTTGGCTGTAGGCTAATGAAGGTAGATTAAGCTATAATGTTTAGTAGATTAGGTGTATTAAATGCAGTTTTTACTTACATTGTTTCCAACTTAAGATGGTTTTATTAGGCTATAACCCCATTGTAAGTTGAGGGGCATTTGTGAGCTAAATTGAAAAACATTTTTTCTTACATTAAATGAATTAAGCCCATTTACGAGGCTGGACAACTAAGTTTATGTATTTCTTTTGTTGTTTTTTTTTTTAGAGACAGAGTCTCATTTTATTGCCCTGGGTAGAGTGCTATGGCATCATACAGCTCACAGCAACCTCCATCTCCTGGGCTTAGGCAATTCTCTTGCCTCAGCCTCCCGAGAAGCTGGGAGTATAGGCAACAATGCCTGGCTATTTTTTTGTTGTTGTTGTCATTGCAATTTGGCTGGGGCCGGGTTTGAACCCACCACCCTTGGTATATGAGGCCGGTGCCCTACCCACTGAGCCACAGGCACTGTCCAACAACTAACTTTATGAACTCATCCTAGAAAAAGTACTGCATAACCTCATTTCTGAATATTACTCCAGTCACCAGGTGGCCAAGGGGAGTAAACCTTTTCAGAATATTATGGGAGTACACATGTTTTGGTTAGATAGTTTGCTCTTTTTTTTTTTTTTTTTTTTTTTTTGAGACAGAGCCTCAAGCT